TCGCCGTGGGCATCCTTGGTTGTCGTACCACGGACATAAACATAGTTGACCGATTCTCCAACGAGGAGAGCTTAGGGTAATATCTATAAGATAGAAGCTCTTCAAGATAGAACAATTCACTCACAATTGATCTTTGATCGCTGACGTCGACTTGATAATTATCTCCTCCTAGGACAGCATAAATATCGGGGATTGCTCTATCTCCAAGAGGTTGGATGTCTGTTCACCTAGATTAGTGTTTTCTCCATCTAACTACGACGCGGAAATACCGGGTGAGTGAGACGGATTTCCGTCTCTTGGAAACTCGGGACCGCTGGTGAGCGAGTCTCGGAAATAGAAATCATACGTTTCTCCTGCAAGTTTCCATCTGTTCTCGTATCTGCGCACCAGACGCCTCACTCTCCTATTTGAATCGAAGACGATATGTTCAGCACCCAATAGGACCCATCGAGTGTCCCCGTTCACGACCTCCTCTGCGTAGACGACTATCGAGATAGATGAGTAGTTTGCGAAAACATGCTCCTTGTCATTGAACACATTAAGTGTCAACATCCCGTCAAAATTGGACGGAACCTCCACGGTCTGCGTGACTGAATTGGACGGATAGATGGGGACGCGCTGCTGCCCGAACGCGAATGGTTTGTAGGGGGGCGTGGAACCAAAGCAAGAAAATGAGGCTTCGATTCCGCTTCCCGGTATTCCAATTGGCTGTAGAAAATGTAAATCAATGCACAATTGAGAGGCTAATAGACATACCTCAATGGAAAACACCAATTTGACACCCTCGGGCTTGTCGTTCAGGAGGCGGAGCCTTGTAGTCACGCTGGCACCGGGCGAAGCAGGATCGGCGAAGGTGCAGTTGTAGGTTGACAATGTAGGGTCATTGCCAACATACTTGACCAAGTCGCGCCAATTCTTGACCTTCTCCGAGAGGGCATGGGGAGTCGCGTCGGTAGTCGTGATAAGCGTATCATGGCGACCAATACTCTGCCTAGCTGTGAAATCAAGCGGCTCTGCTGTTACGATGACTGGGATTATATGACATTTAACAATGATCACTTGATGTTGTAACATCACACTTACTTTCGCCGTCTTTCGAAGCGGTAAGCGTCTTGCTGCCAAACGGAGAAACATCCTCCCAAACCTGAGGCCAGAGCACAAGCTCATTCTGAATTGCCCTCAGGTTGACAATCGTAGTGACGTGCTCGGGACAACCTTTCCCTCGTACGACCGCTTTTCCTCTGATGTAAATCGGAGTGGAGGCATCATCGGGATCTATATCGTGCGCGATGAATTGGTCGTAAGACTTGATGAAAACTTCCGGGTCAACAAGTGTGTGACTGAGGGGAATGACATCCGGGCTCTACAGTGCATGAAAACTGTCAGAAGGAGAGGAAACGAGATTAGATGAACGCATACAAAGGCTGTTAAAGCATGCAGTCCATCCACTAGTTGTCCATTCAGAGCTGGACGTTGAGATCAGTATATATATGCTCAGAAAAGAGGCAAAGGTTATGACTCACTGGAGCGGAAATATATGCCGTTGTCTAGCTCTGATCCAGCCATGGTAATTGAATCGATGGAATACTGTCGGTAGGAAAAGTAAGGAGACATGAGTGAAGCGGACTATCGTCTTGCAAGAGAGGCGCACGAATCTCACGTCGAAAAGAGGATCGCATAATTGCGTCAACACATGATACATCCATTTTTCCAAGCGCCATAAGCATGCTCCTTCCAGATTCGACAGCATACCGCCCGGAGCAGATACAACAGCCATTCAGGTTTAGGTTCGCAGGCTTTCATTCGTTGACACAGGAAGGTTGAGCCCTCCGTGCTGTGCAATGAGCTACGGCCATTTTTCCGCTCTTGTTTCGAGATTGACATGTCGCTAATTGTCGGGCGCATATTGATCGTGACTTTCCTGGAGAATCTAAGACCATCATGCTTCAGCAAATTAAATCAGAATCAGATATGTGACTCTGCCTCTTTTTCTTAGTCGAAACCTTAGGCAAGAGGACATAAAGTGGACGCAGTCTTCCAAGTCGAAGACTTTGATGTGTCAATTAGAGCGTCATCGACTGCGACCCAATTCAGGCGCACCTTGGTGAGTCGAGAAAAACACCGCCGGTGGTTGGCTCGAGCGGTAGGTATCACCTGGACTGAGATTCATCGGGTGAACCTTCGCTTGCTTGACAGCAAATCGCTCGCGCCAGATGGCACCAATACTGCAAGTAGCTGATTCGTCTCAAAGCCACAGAAAGATCACCGATTAGTTTGATAAAGGCACCCTAGCAGAATATATGAGACACTAACAGCGTTCCGCGTGCGATCGGGGTCGGAAAGCCACACAAAGTCCCTTTCGACATGCTCCTTCCCTCGACTAATGAGTCCTTGCATACATACTGAGAGCGCCCTCCCGCCACAGTGGATGGTTTCTGAGCAAAGTAGTCCGAAATCACTGCCGTCAAGCCGTACCATCATTATCAATGACCTCAATTCGAGCGCCATCGGCTAGCTTATAGTCTCATTCGAGCTTGAGCGTAGTTCTGCCGACATTACTTAGGTACCAGCACCAGCCAAGCCATCGGGACATCACTCCGGACCAAAATCGAAGACAGAGTTTGTCAATCGCCTCGAGCCCGGGCCCGGGTGGCGGACGCGCGCGGCATCTCCCGAATGGGCGCTTGACTCTTGAGACTACTGGCGGTTGAACGACTTGGACTGCGACAGTAAGTAATGGCCGCAATTATGTACTTGCTTAGGGACACGGAATATGTCGATAATTAGTCTGACAGCCATCTAGTTGATAAAAAAGACTGTTCACGGACGAATGGTTATGCGCGGAAGATACATTCATGACTCTTAGCATGCGTTGGTCATGAGATTAGTACTACTAGTGGCTTGGGTCAGTCCTCCTCTCGTTACATTCTGTGATGCCCCTGTTGACACATGATGGTATGCTTTCTATCCAAACCAATGCAAGTTCTTTTTCTCCAGAATCTTATATCGTATTTCCAGGCGGACGGAGCACTCATGCCGAAATCCTGCATTCTTCTGCACGTGCAACATAGGCGACTTTCAAGGTGGGGAATGCAGGAGCCACTGACAGTAAGTCTAACCTGAAACTGCATCCAGGTCCTGGGGATATTGTGGCACCTGAAAAGTCCGCGTTCCACCTCGATCGGATCGGATCTCTCACGTTGGCTCCATCTCCGTCTTGTTCCCCTGGCTCCGTCTGTGTGCCGGTACCGTAGTCGCAACGCAAATGTTCAGACACGCTGAATATTCGGAGGGCTATCGGTGAAGTCCTATTTCCCGTATCCGATGTCTGTAGGAGGGACGTAATGTTGGAAGAAGTCTGCTCACCGGACTGAGGAGACATCGGGTCTGCGAATCACGATCGACCTCCATTCAATTGACCTGTTCGATCAAGCCTGCCGCTTTCGCGGCTTGCTCGCTGCATATTCCGCCGAAGTCTAGGCCAGAGAGGTGGCCAGCGCCCCGCGTTGAGCTTCATGTTCTTCAAGAAGCTCCCACAACCGTGGTTCATGACATTCCAGCAACTGCAACTTCTATGCACTGCTTCTCAAGCGTAAATGTATTGGAGGCTGGAGCAATGCTGAGGCTGGCCCCCTGGCTAGCGCCGAGGCATGCTGCACTATGATTATCCTCGGATCTCCAGTGAGTCCATAGAGTGGCCATAGGGATGCATGTCCGACAACAGCCGGACTAGTGTCATTCTTTCGCCAGGATATTTTTCTAGAATTTGTGCAGAAGTCTTGATACTAACCGACGTTCTGGCGTGAAATTGCGCCTTCGACCTCCTTCCATAGATGAGAACACTGCGTAATTCTCAAAGGACAGAACTTCGGTACACATAAGGCATACGGCCGTACGAGGGCCGCAAGCCATATAACCCATTGAAAAGGGCAGGAGTATTTTGCGACACGCCGTCAATGGACTCAGTGGGACTTTGCGCTGAGAACGTTGGGTATTACAAGAAAATGTGTTAAAGTACAAGTAATTCACCAGCAGTACAAGGGGAATGGTTCAAAGTGTATGTACAAGACAGGGTATTCGCGTACGTGTACACTGGTCCATCGTCCAACTAGAGTGGCCTAGAATATAGGAGGAAAGCCATAATCGGGCTTGAATATCGTACATCAGACAATTGGGATCGGGCAAGCGTGAGATACAACAGTCAAACTCAGAATAGGGGCTACAGTGATCAGACGATAGAAAATCTGTAAAAACGTCCATGAGCCACATCAACACAGCACAAGCACAGAACCACTTACGCCTCGCTGCGCCAATCCTTGCCATGAGTTGCAACTTCTGCACGTTCCTGTATGCGGTTTGCCCAGCCTTCGGGACGCCCCGCATTCGCTAAAATTGCCGAATCGCGTTTCGACACTACTTTGAACTGCCCTGATTTTTCTTCTGTGCGCGACTTTGTGCTCTGTGCCTCCTCTTTCTTCCGCTGGAAGAGCTCCTGCAGTACCTGCGTCTGGCTCATATTAGGGTTTGCCTTCGCCTCGTTCATGCGATCGCGAACGGCGACAAGCTGCCCATCAACGTACTCCAGCCCTGTGCGCACGGCATCCGAAATGGCCTTCTGCACCTGCTTCTTTACCAAGCCAGTTGCAAGCGGACGGAGCGTCTTGTACAAGAAATCATGCTTCGAGTCCCGGATCGAAAATTTGAGCGTGCTGATTTTCACATGGACATCCTTCACATTGAACACGCTTGAACGGTCCTTCCCCGAAGAGGCGATATGGGCGGTGACAGTCAAACCCTCTCCGCCCATCAACACGTCCGCGATACCTGAATCCGATATCTTCGGGAATCCATTCTTCTTGTTGAAATAGAACGCCACATCGCGCATATCTGCCTGGATCTGGCTAAACGTAAACGTGAACTCATGTTGACCCTCATCTCTACAGGGTGCAGAGCTAAGGGGTCAGCGTGTAGCGTGGTGGGTGCTCGCGAGAACACGCACGAGATAGCATTGTACGGGCTAAATTTAAGGTAGTTGTGTGCTTCCATAGCAACGATATTTGGGAACAAGTTGCGACCAGATAGCGCAAGATTCTCAATGACGAGATCCAGCGATTCATCGGTATACTCGACGCGTGGGATAGGAACATATCCGACCTGACGTGATTCATTAATACCGCAAAGTGACAGTATCGCTCATGAACGACATACTCTGTCTATGATGCTTGGCAGGATGACCTTCCGAATGTCCATCCAAAGATCCGGCTTGAACTTAAGGCTGCCCTCGTCGTCAAACAGGAGATCCTTAGTAAGACGCGCCCAGTCGTTGCCGAACCTATTGTACGCTTAGACCCGCATATACGGAATAGTGCTGACCATTCACACACCTTTGGTTGAGAGGATCGTCACCAAACGCGGTGAACCAGTCTGTCATTGACGAGAATAGCGCATCGAAGTGTCCCTTATACTTTCCGTCATAGAAGCGACGTCCACTTTCCATCAGTTTATTCGCTTCATTGTTGCATTGTGGTTCTAGCACGTAGCCAGACTCCAAGAGCACCTAAAACGTACCTCCGTCAGTTCATGCTCAGCGAAAGAGGTTCGTTACGTACCCTACGTGAATACTTATCACACGAACGGAACCATTCTCTCAGCTCCTCGTCCTGTTGTGCGTCCTGATAGAGTGTCTGAAGAGTATCACCAATCACACCCAGACTCATTCCGTTTGCGAAACGCTCCAAAAGAGTGCGTAACTCGGACATCGCCAACTGTAGACTATCGTCACTACGCATTATATCATGCGAATCCTTTGCTGTGTAACGTAGAAACACTTTAGCGCGTAAGCGATGGTCGAAAACGGATCACAGCATACCATGTCCAGAAATGGTTTTGCCGTGACTGGCATACTCCTCCAAAAAGGCGAGAAGCCATTGTACACTTTCTTGGTAGTCCTTGTGATTCTGGCATTCGATAATGACCTTCTTCCCTCTGTAGATAAACTGGTCACGACGCTCTGGTGGGAAGTATTCTTCACTCAGGAACTGTTTCGCGCGGTCAAAGTGCTCATTGGCCCGATCTTTGTGTTCCTGTGGCATTCGATCGGACATCTGATCCTGTATGCGCACAGTTAGAGTTTCTGTTTGATGTGCAAGACGACACTAAACACGAACCCGTACACCACGCAGCCTGCCCATAAGGCCATTCTTTTTCATCTCGGCATCCTCCTGATTGTCGGGGACCATCTCACCTCCAGTAGCGCCAAGAGTTTCGTCTTTCTGCCTGGATGCTTCCTGCTGCATGAAGCATATGAAAAACGCACCCACAAACTACGTATTCCTACGTACCATGCCACGATCAACAAGTTCATCTTTGCGCTGTTGACCTTCGTCGAGCGCCTGCGCGCCGCTTCTGACTTCACCATCACTCTGCCTTACGGTGGCTCCTTGGCCAAACTGGTCTTTAGGGTGTTGAGATACCCGGGTATCAGTACCAGGAATACGTGCTTCGAGGACCTATAATGAATTGATTAGCGCATATATGTGGTCTAGACATATACTAGACATACGGGCGTCTCGTCTGGTCCCGCGACTCTATCACCTTCAGTGACAAAATGGTCGCGCGGGGCTGTTTCATCGACCGTAGCAAGTCGATCAGAATCGGGGCGAGCGGCATCTGCTATTTTGCTGGCGCCGCGCGCGAGAAGGTCACGGCCAATGACAGAAAAATCGGACACGAGCTTGCGAACCTCCGAATTCGTCAGGATGAGGGAGAGGAGGGTACGAAGGTGAGTAACGGCTTCTTGGCCATCATTCTTGACCTTTTCTTGGTCGACGGGAAGGACTTCGTTGGGGTCTTTCTTAGCTTGGGAGGGGTCGACAGCCCGTGTGTTCCATATGAAGTTTTGAAATAATTCATCTGCATTCTTTTGCTTGACCATGAGACGCGCAGTCTCGATGATGTCGCGGGAATCTTGAATAAGACGCTGACCATCCGGAGAGAGCGCGCTTGTGTCGACGGGGGAGTGGTTGATGGCATAGGTGAGAGCTTTGTCTATTTGTTCGTTCGAGGGCATGCGAGACTCGCGAAAGGCAGAGACGACGCCATAGAAGCGAAGCTTGCGGTCTACATCGGCCGCCTGAGCGGCTCTGTCTGCGGGTTGAGCGACAGAGCCCTGTGTGTTGAAGTGTAAGCGGGATGCATATGAGGGAGAGAAAGGCACGCACTGCTGCGGGCGTGTCGGATATGTCTTTGGGAGCCGCAGGAAGAGACATGAATAGTGTAAGTCGTTAATCGTCGTTGAGAGAGTTTGGGTATGGGGGGAATAAGAGAGGCAGAAAACGAACATGTGCGAGGAAGTCTTAAATGGCAGCACTACGACTACGTCATGGACAAGTTGGGGTGATGTCAGTGGTGCCACATCCCCAAATCCCACTGCGAGAGTCTGTATCCACCTCGAATTTGCAAGTGGTCCCATATTGCTGGCGCAATTCCGATCGTGGTTATCTCAGAAACAACGCGTAAAAATGAGACAATACAACTCACTACTTCAATTGCTCCAAGATTCAAGTGCTCCACTTTTCAGCAGTCCACCAGTGACCAATCATCCATGTCATGGCCAGGGCCAGCGCGTCGGAGCTATGGCCACAATCCATAACATGCACAAACTCCACCTTGATCACCGTGGTAAGATTAGAATCTCCAAACTAAACCTATTTAAGCATGTTCGAAATTCAAGTCATCCTCTAAGTACTCGGAGAGAATAATATACACAAAAAATTTGGACTGATAATACTCTGTTGTATTCAGGACATAAGTATATCCTCCAAAAATGCCAAAAAAGGCAAATTTTTGCGTCAGGTTTCAGCACCATGGGAAAACTATGGTGCCTTCGCGCGGAACGAAAGCCGGGATCGTATTTTCTCTCAATTTTCGGAGCCCGAGCCAAGCCCGAGCATTGGATGTTATATTTTGGAAACGAGCATGATAGATCGGCGGCTTCTAATTGGCCTTTTCATCAAGTTCTTCGTATATCAAGTCCGCGTTTATAGATCGGACATTCCAGAAATATACTCTCTCTTGCGGCGGCCGGCAGTTTCCGGCGGACGTTCGACGACAAAGCTTCGACAATTGCTCATGGTGAATGACTCACTTTTATGACAATGTGAACGAACTCGAAGATAGGTAATAAAAGTAAATACCATATGATACCTTCATACTACACGACGAGGATGCAGGACAACCGTATTGCCAGACAGCCGGACAGTTGGATGAGAGACGGCCATTCGAACAGGCGCTATGATTATATAACATGACTCGGCACATTCACGGCGATCACATTCATCACTGCATCGCACAGGACTATGACGCATTATGCACTGCGGCAGCAGCGCCCTTCAAGGGGCCGTGTTGAATATGGACAATGTTAGCGCGCGATGCTCAGTCGTGGGGGGAATGAAATGACTCTGTTATCTGGACAATGGTAGCGCGACGCTAACAGTACAAGTAAGTAAGTACAGGAGGTGTCATACCGAATAAAAGCTTACCTCAGTCGTGCAGTGAGTGGAATGTACCAACTGACTGCTAAGGAAAACCAGGGTATCTCTATGTGGGAGAACACTATGCACGTGTCAGAAAAAAGGTTATGATACGAAGAACACAAGTTTGGGCTTGATTGGTGTCCGGAGCGATGCGAAATCCAACAGGCCGCCGGAAACGACCTAAGCGGCGCAAATAAATGAGCAGCCGAGCAAAGTAGTGTCCGCGGCCAGGCGAGAGCTCACTGTTTCAACGAGACTAGCACAGGAAGCCGGGTCGGCGACTACTCTCTCCTCTTCCTCCTTCTTGAAACCAGAGGTGTGGACATTCCTCCCCTCCGTTTGTGTATGCCTTTCCCGCTCTGCTACTCCACTCACTGGAGGATATAACTGTTTGTCATATCTGCGCAGGCGGTCTCGTCGACCATGTCTCTTCTCCTGCTTTCCCCCGTGTTCCTCGCTTTTATTGTCATATATAGGCTTTCTGCTCGTCGCCATCCCCTGCCACCAGGCCCTCCCCCCAAGTTTCTCACCGGAAATATTCACCAGGTTCCTCCTACGCATCCCTGGCGCACGTACGAGAAATGGGGTCTTCAATACGGTGCGTCGTGTTACCTATGAGCGATTCTGCCTTCACTCATGATTTCCACAGGCCCTATGGTCTACTTCAGAATAATGCAAAAGAAATTCATAGTCCTCCATACGTTCAAGGCCGCCACCGACCTTTTGGATGCACGAGCGGGCATTTACTCTGAGCGTCCTACCACCGTCTTCTTCGGCGATCTTATCGGACGCCAGGAGGCCGTCTTTTATTTGCCGTCCACTCATCGCAACTTTAAGAAGTATCGGAAGTACCTCACCTCTGGCCTCAATGCTCGCGCCACAAGGAGTTATGCTGAAGTGTCGAAAGATGAAGTCCATGTCCTCCTTCTAAATTTGATGAAGAATCCGGAGCAATTTACTCATCACTTCCGGAGGTGGGCATCTTGGCTTGCAGCTCTACACTTGATTGTATCATATCATCTTCAGATATGCTGGCGCCGTAATTCTCAAAGTCACATACGGGTGGACTGTCTCCAACACGGGCGACGATCAGCTTGTTTCCCTAATAGAGCAAGCCGCCCGCCTTCAGCCAGAGCTGGTCCGTCCTGGACGATGGATGGTTGACACCATTCCCCTTCGTACGTTCGCAATATCTCATTTATGCGCAGACCTGATACTTTCACAGTCAAATATGTACCTGCATGGTTTCCTTTTGCAAGCTTTCAAAAGGCGGCACTTGAATACAAGGCCATATTCTCGCGGATTGATCAATATCCCTGGGAGTGGACAAAGCAGCAGGTCGTGAGTACTCATTTCGATCCAGGCAAGAAAATTTTGAGCCAACGAGCCCATTCTACATTTCTCTTCGGCGACCTATCATTAGACGTCCGGCACGTATACCGATTCCTTCGCGTCCAAGCATATCCTCGAACTCGACTCTCTACCTCCGGAAGAAGCTGCAGAAGAAGACAAGATTGCTAGATTTTGCAGCGCGGGTCTCTATTCTGGGGGTGCGGAAACGGTGTGTCGCACATTCATATCCGCCATCCGCTTTCGTCATTGACAGATTCATTTGTGCTGCCAAGATCGTCGGCGTACTTACAGCATTCACGCTCGCAATGACACTGTATCCTGATGTACAAGCCCGTATTCAGGAAGAGCTTGCGACTATTGTAGGGCAGCGCTTGCCAACGGTGGACGACAAAGATTCCCTACCGTACCTGAATGCCGTCTTGTGGGAAGTGTTGCGATGGGCGCCCATTGCCCCGGTCGGTGAGCTGCATCCCTACTGCTATATAACGGGGAAAGTGGCGCTCACAGAATGCAGCTTTGCCACATCGTGTTTTGGAGGACGACGTGTATGAAGGATACCTGGTCCCAAAGGGCACAGTCGTGATTCCAAACATCTGGTGAGTATTTATATATGTTAATTGTCTCGGGATACTCATCTTCTGGAGGGCAATGACGCGCGACGAGTCGGTCTACCCAGCGCCTGACGTATTCGATCCAGAGCGCTATCTCGGAAAGACACCTCAGCGTGATCCTCGTCGAATGGTATTCGGGTTTGGACGACGAGTGTGTCCAGGTGAGTGGAGTTGCTATGTGTTAGATTCAATGCCACGTATAGTTCTGCTCATGCATGCTTTGCCTCTCCTCTTAGGCGCCCATTTTGCCGAAACGTCTATATTTTTGGTAATGGGCAGCATAATGACGGCATTCAATATCACAAAGGCTTTGGATGACGCAGGAAAGGAGATCATTCCCGCAGTGGAGTTCTCGTCGAATATTACTAGGTGCGTTCTGCGTAAGGTTGCTGTAACTTTTTCAATTTACATGACATTTAATTTTCCCCGTTCAGCCACCCCTTACCTTTCGAGTGCAAGGTCACTGCGAGAGCACCTGATCTTTTGGCATCGCTCTAGGCTGGCGCAGCGGAATGACCGCAGCTCTTGTGATTACAGAAGATGGGCGAGCTCATTGGATTACTACTTCGGAACCCCACAGTCCATCTATTAGCTCAGTTTCACTACAGGTGATAGATGGTACCTTATCTATGGAATTCACATCGTCGACACGTCTTCCAGTCCATCTTATTATTGGATATTAAACCCTATGTAGTCTAGATGTGAAAAAGCTTGTCGGACACCCAATGAAGTTGGGGTTCACTTGAATCGTAGGTATCGAAGCTAGATTTGAACTTGGGTGTGCTAACCTTCGTGGGTACCTGACGGCTTATGTATGAGGAGAGTTACAAGTGGCCTTCAACTAAGACAGATCCGCCTCTCCTTAAGCAGGAAGTCAATATTGAGCATACTCACTAACAGAATCGTCCGGACATAGCTCATGACAGTGGGTCATTATGCTGTCAGCTATCATCCGCATAGCCCGGGCCGCAAGTTTCAAGGCGCAGCGCAGCCTCATAGTCAACCTCGTATGACCAATTCCTCGTCTGAAATTATCATTTAGGAGCACTACCTCCGGCTTATTCACCGTAACAGCGTAGTGTGGACATCGATCGTGTCGTCCGATTAGCGGAGACAATTCATTATTGTTTAATGTTAAGATTGGTACGCTCAAATAGCTATAAGCTTGTGTCGAAGCTATTCAAGCCTCACATTGCGTATTCTTCGTGACTGGTGCATGTAAGAAGGAAGCACGAGCAGTTGAGTCACTGCGTTGGAAAGCGGTTACGACAATGAATTAAATCACGTTCACTATTTCATCGCCTGGGGCGAATGAACGAGATTTAATACTGTGTCAAGACACCGACGATGTACCAACGGAGACAGGAATATCTTCGATTGAGACAACATACTCGGCAACGGGCGGCCTTCAAGGGAGTAGTTGCTTGGTCCAATTTGGGTCTGCGGGCGGCGTAACACCGACATGGTGAACTAGCTGCCTCAATTCCCGATGTTCATGGAGATTAACATTACTGACCCCCTCTTCTGGGCAGCGAGGACTTGCCCGAAAGCCCCACTCTGTGATCCGCGCTTCGTAGTGAACAACTTCGTAAACTTCCCTGATTGGTTCGAAACTGCGGTCCGTCTGTGTCCCCTAGCTTCATGCAGCTACTGCGGCCACCGCAGCGGCAGGACCAGCTGTAGAAGCCGGAGGGACACGTGTGCATGTTCGTAATAAGAATGTTGTGATCGAGCTAGTATATGAGTGAGTTCGTGGTTGAGCAACGACCTGCGAAAAAAATTTACTTTGCGCCTTTCCCCCCCGTAGCACTCATCTTCACACACCTCAATCATGCGCCAGTTACAAAACTTCAGTGCTGTCTTCAGCCAGATGTTCCCTGGAAAGCCAAAGTTTAGCACCGAAGAAATACCCGACTTATCTGGGCGAGTGGTCATCGTCACTGGTACGTCAACTGTTTTTGTCCATGATATTCTATAGATACTTAGAAACTGCAGGGGGAAATGTCGGTATTGGTAAAGAGACAATCAAGGTAGGTCGAGCGACCAATTTGCGTTTGGACCGTCTGGGACGTGTGTGTACAGGTTTTATTGGAGCATAACGCCAAGGTCTACATGGCGACACGAAGTGAAGAGAGAGCAAATGTTGCCATTAAAGAGTTGAAGCAACTTACCAAAAAAGAGGCGATCTTCTTGAAGCTTGATCTCAGCAGCCTTGTGTCTGTTCGTGAGGCGGCTCGGGCATTTTTGCAGTGAGCATTTTTTGCTTTGATATATTACGCTCGCCTTCGGGGCTTATAGGATAACATTAGACAGGAGAACAAGCTACACATTCTGTTTAATAATGCGTGAGTAGTTCCCTGAATACACAAGACAAAAGATGACAGATCTTTCACCTAGCGGAGTAATGTGGTGTCCGCACGAAATGATCAGCGCTGACGGGTACGATATGCAATTCGCCACCAACGTGATGGGTATGTCCAGCCGGTCGTGATATTTTGCTCGGCACATGAACCAGGAGATCTGCCCAGGTCACTACTATTTCACCAAGCTACTCATGCCCGCCTTGCTCGCGGGCAGGGATACTTCGCCAGACCGTCACACTAGAGTTATCACGACGTCCTCCTCGGGCGCATACATGGCGACCCTCAACTTCGACAGCTTGAAGGATGGTCCCAAGCGCAAAAAAGTTACGACAGAGACGCTATACTACCAGAGCAAGTTTGTGCGTGCTTCGACTACACTGCCTGGATCCCGAGTAAATAGGCTGACGACTGGCTTCATGTAGGCAAATGTGGTCGTCAGCCGTCAATTTGCAAAACGCTTCGGCGAACAAGGTGTCATCTCTATCTCCGTTAATCCAGGTCAGCTTTGAACGTAAATAAGTACGGATAGGTCGAACTTACATTTTGTCGGGCTAGGTACGGTCGACACTGAACTGTTGCGCCACACCTCCCCGCGGTCGCGCTCGTTCATGGTGCGCCAAGCCTGTGTTACTAAGCATTTTCTCGTCAGTATTGATTCGCAGATGGTTTCTGAATTGTAGCGAGCAACATTCTTGATGCCCGCTCCGTGGGGCGCGCTCACGCAGCTTTGGGGAGGAACGATGCCAGAAGCATTGAAGGCGAACGGAGAGGTAGGGGGTGAATGTTGCTGGGGACAATATTCGTGCTGACCGCTATCCTCTGGTCAGTTCTTGATTCCGTGGGCGAAGGTTGGGAAGTGTCGCCAAGAGGCGTACGACGATGAGCTCGGAAGCAAGCTCTGGAAGTGGCTCGAGGAGCAAGTTCGACCCTACCAGGGCTAAGGCCTGACCACGCCGCCAATGGTGGACGACCGGTTGTTCGAGCGATCAGACAAATGGTGAGGAAAGCGTCAGGAACACCTACCCATGCTTTTATCTTCTTATCGTGCAATTCTCCCATATATCATTGCAGTCGCATGTTCGGTGTATTCGCACCTCGTCATTGGGCGCTTTAGTATGGGTTGAACATATTCTTCTCTCCAGACCTACGCGATTTTACTTACTTTGATTAATCTCTTGGTCCTTATCGCTTGAATTATAGAGTCCATCTGCATCTCTGCTATCGGGAAATGTAAATAAGCGTATGTGGAAGTATTGGGGCTGAAGACGCCTTCTTTGCAACTTCCCCCTTGCTTTTTTTGACATAATCTTTGCATTGTCCTCTTTGCTCCACGGCACCTCATCCCCCAATGGATAATCAAAATGCATGCATGCGTTTAAAACAGCCCTCCCGCGCCGTCCATCGAGTATCGCCACACCCTCGATTATCCTATCAGCCACGCTCGCTCACACTTCATACGGTAGTACCGGTGGCGCTCGCCTCACGAGCGCACGCATGAGTGATACCATGCTCTGATCCCCTGGGACTCCCAAATACTTCGTCCTCCTGCGCTTCATACAACCTATTGACCCTGCGCCCCATCCACGCACGCGAGTCGAGCCTCTTGGGATGTGTCACGTCTCAAGGGCCCTGCCAAACTCGAGCTCCGAGTTGTCCGAGTTGACCCCGACACAGAGAACGCTGACGAAGTTACGTACAGCCGTAATTTGCAGCCACGGGGATGCGTTGTACAGCTCGGGAGACACATGTCCGATGCACGCGCTCAACCGCATCGTCGGCCAACTCAAGCGGTGGCGCACGAAGAGGCGGAGGCGGTTCGACCAGGCGAACGAGTGCGGGTGCTCACATGTGAGTATCGCGTTCAGTGTCGTCTTTTTCGCACCGTTCCCGCTCGTGAGATACCATCGCAAGTCGTTATGGATCGTCCAGTCGATATTCCGGAGAACGTGGCGCTCGCCGTAGCCTATGTTCAGCGTGCAATCTCACACCCGACGTGCGCTAGCTAAGGACGGCATGTGCAGAGTGCGTGCCAGCTGCGAGACCGTGTCAGGCTCCGACCTTGGAAGAGAGCTCGGCCTCGGTCCCGGTGAGAACAGTTCAATCTGTGGTGACGAACGCGACGTGTGTGATCCAACCGAGTAGACCGTCTTTGAACCGCATGCCGAGGATGATGTGCGGGGTAGATGTGTCATCCGATGTGTGCAGGAAGTGGAAGAAGTTTAGCATACGAGAACGCTTTTGTACGTCAAGACCAGCTAAGATAGAGCAGTCATGGATAAGTGAGTGTCACCGGTATAAGAACGAGTCGTACACGCACTGAGGGTTCGTCTAACACTAGCACTGCCGGCTCGAATGAGACCGCTTTCGCAACTCTCGCCCTCCATGTCTGTCCGTTGCTAAGTGTGTTGATAGGCAAATCCGATACGTCCGTCAGGGGCAGTTGATGCATCAACGCATTGAAATTCATGCGCTCTTCATAGTCTCTCCACAGAGGATCGACCGCTTTATAGTCGCCTCCGAGAAGTAGGTCGTACGGGGTCCCGCTGGTCCTAGTCACACATATATAGCACCATGGCGCGTGTAGTCGAAGAACACACCGCGTGGGTTTGCAGTGCGCCTATCACTGACGAGGCGTATGCGTTCAATCGGGTCTCGGAATCCCAAAAACAAAAAAGATGCCTCTCGGAGGGGACGAATGTATACGACGCTGCCCCATGAGCGTCCTGAAGAGCGTACGTTTGCTACTGCCGTAGCCAGTGGTGATGACTACCTCGCCTCATTTGACTTGATTCTCCAAGAGACGTCTCGGAGAATGAGCTCGGCGATGATTGGGTCGCCTTGTGAGAAGATGGACGATGAGGGGAGGATGGGTAGTAGTTGCTCTCTCGAACGTGATAATGACTCAGTAATACTGAGTCGCTATGATATTGAAGATGCGAAACCCTGTGCGAAGGAAGGTTGGTATAAACGACGGCGAGAGTATGCTGACCCGACACTCCGTATCCTTGCGCATGCGAGAGCAGCGACGGCAAACGTGGTGGTGTCACTGAATAATCCGAGTGAGTCAGGCCCAGATATACAGTAGGGAAGTTCAAAGTTGACGCAGCTGGGCTCGCAGAAAGTTCTGC